TATTGTGGCAATAAGTCTGTCTCGTTGTTTAAATAACAACATCAGAACCTGCCTTGGTCACAATAACGTAGAACCGACACATGGTGGGCACAAAGACCATAACATAGTGCCTACACACTCTGGGATCAAAAGCCATAACATATTGCCTTTACACAGTGGGCACAGAAGCTATAACATATTGCCTACACACAGTGGGCACAGAAGCTATAACATAGTGCCTACACACAGTGGGCACAAAAACCATAACATAGTGCTTAAGAGCAAGTCCGTGTAAAAATCAAACATTGCATGGCAAAGTTCAAAAACTAAAATTCGCTGTTCTTTTGCCAACAAGTAGCCTTTAGAAAGTAGAAAATTGCTGTGCAGTTTTTTCCTTAAAAAAGTTATTTGCTTCTGGATCGAAAAAACGAAAACGTTTCGTTTTCAGTCCCGGGATCGGTTTGCCGACACCGGACAGGTTTTAAATAGATCATGATTCACTCGACTCGCGTATCAAAAAACTGCGCTAGAGAAGGCTATCACAGTTCCAAGTTGTTGTACAACCTGTCATTGTCTAAACAGCGAGATTTCATAAAGATTGGATTAATTCCAGTATTCAAGAGGTGTCAAAAGCATATGGCTCTCTCGTGTTGCGTACTGAACGGTAGGCGAAAAACAACGATAATTTTTAACATGTGCCTTTGCTCAGAATTTCGTAAGATTACGAATGATTCTACTAGAGTTGATTATCTTTCATAATACTTAAAGTCTAGTTTAGGGAAATGAATTTGGAATTTTTTACAATTTTTCGAAAATCGTGAAGAAAGACAAAAAAAAATCATGCCATCCTTTTGTGTACATGTGACCATCAAGACATCAATATAATAAAATTACCACGAATCCGATGCATATAGCAATTGAAAGTAAATAGAATAACCTTAACTCAACTATTATATTCTTAGCTGTTCATGTGAGTCTAGAGTTTGTCTGTTTTTCCGTTTTCTCCATTCTGCGGTCTCTGTAAGTTTGACATCTGCACCGTCACTTTATGTCGCGGCTCGATCAAAACGGCTGCTCCTGAAAACGTCTAAACTTTGCAATTTGTATTCCTTGTGTGCTTAACCTCATTAGTGCATGTTGGGTAAAACCATCGGGATCTCTTTCCTGTTTTGAACTGATTTGATTGAAAACTTCGGAACAATAATCGTCAAAAACAAAGAAAAGAGACATATGGCTAAAAGACCCATCCCTTGGCCACTGAGAATACCTTATCCACCCTATGTGCCAATTACTGTCACGAACCCTTGCTCAGCATGGTATACAAATTTTGTGGCTCTTTGCGGGCAAGACGTAATTTGAATATAGCCTCGAAACGGTCCACGGTAAACTGCGTGGGAACACATGCTTGAACTAGTCGGCTTTATTGTCAGCCCTGTTGTGGTTTCCTTCAGAATTTTCAGAAAAATTTGTAATAACAGTATAGTGAGTACAAATGCGAAAAGTGAGTAGTAATTTTAATAACTAGGCTGGTTATTACGTTTCCTAGCTCATTTCTGTTAATCTAATATATTACCTCCTTCCTACTTATCTGCAAAAAATGCTGTTGGGCAATGCAAACAACCAACATACCCAAACTCTGCCAAAATATGCAGATTTCAGGTAGGAAAAACAAAGAGAGACGTCAGAACAAATGGTGGTAGCCATTGGAGAAACGTTGACTTCGAATTCTCGCTTCGGCATATGATACTAGGCTTCGTGGCTTCGCCTGGGCAATAGTTAAATAAAGGCGAGTCGTCTAATTTCGCTGCAAGCGGCGACCTAGTGATAAAATCAGTGTTTGTAAGCATCGTTTACTCCGCCATTTTGAATTTCAGGTGGGTTACCGCTGTACACCCGTTCCCCGTTCGCATTTCCCTGTTCCCCGTTCGCCGTTCCCCGTTCTACGTTCCCCGTTCCCCGTTCTCCGTTACTAGTTTTAGTAACATCCATTCATTTCCCCAAAGTAAACTTAACTTATTTTTTTCTCAGTTAGTGAGCGGGCGGTATTCAAAAAATCCTGCAATCTGATTGGTTGCGAGAGCGGGCAGTATTCTCCTCCTCCAGCCCACTCACAGCGGGCGATATCCGTTTCGCTTGAGTAATTTTGCAGTACATCTCAAGCTTTGTTCCAATTTTTCACAAAATCGATACATCTCATTTTTCCTGCTGGGCAGACTTTTTGAGCAAAGACTTTGGTCACGACCTTTTAGCGGTAAACAAGTATTAATTCTTTCTTCTCTCTCGCTCTCAAATCCCTTTGGTTTTCCATCAAAAGTGTATTTCGAAACAAATTTGGTGGTACTACATTTGTTTTTAAAAAGATTGAAACGCAGCATAGGAACAATTTGTTATTCAATGATCCTTCAATAAAAGTAACTCAGAAGGTTAAAACGAGACGGGTAGTTGCCGGTTAACAATTACGTTAATCAGTGTGACTCTCATTCGTTAATATCTGTCAGGGAATTCTTCATCACAATTTGTTCGTTTGTGAAACGTTGAGGGAAGTGTTGAGTTCTTCTATAAATACACTTTCGTCTATTCTTTGCAAGTCTCTTGAATTTGGACATTTCTACCGCAAATTTCACATTATCAACCTAAGGAATTTGATGAATAAAAGTCGCATTAAATCTCTTTAGCTTGTGTCTAGCTGGAAAGAGTACGTCTCACTGACTTCAGCTTTTCGGTGAAAGAAAACTGATTTACGCACACCATTGCAGAAAACAAATAAGCAGACTGACAACTCCAAACCACACATTTGCATTTACTTACAATTTGACTTTTCTGTGATATTTCAAAACAGATTAGAGGTAAATCGTCGAAGATTAACCGTCGTTGGAAATACACAATACTTTCAGTGCGATCTCCGAGTGTTTTTTTACGAGAAAATCGTCGCATTTACTCGTGCGTGTTTGTCCGTAGCAGTACTGTTGTTTTTTCAAAAGCGTACGCTTTTTTTCCGCCTCAATCGACAGGTGTCACATCGCGACCGTTATTTATCAAAAAATGTTTCAAAGTTTACTCGGAAGCCTTTTAAGTTACCTTTACAAACAAAAATGTTTCGGTGAAAGCTTTCTCTTTAGTTTGAATAACATATATTTTCTTTATTATCCACTCACTGACAAAATGTTAAGTTTTTGGAGGATCTTCCCGTGACTAAACTCGTTATTGTAGCCAAAACCATTCGGGTTCTTTTAACAATCAATTTTTTTATGTGTTAGAAAAAAATAAAATGCCCAAGACCTCGGGCACAGTTTTTCCCAATACGGAACTCCCCCTTGGTCAATAACATATATATATTTTGAAAGATCGTTAACTCGGGTATTGTCATTCTTAATCTTACGAAATTCTAATCAAAGGCACATGCTCAAAATTATCGTTATTCTTCGCCTACCGTTTTACGTAGCACTGGAGAGCCGTGACTTCTTTACTACTTTTGAATATTCAGATAAATATAATGTATATGAAATCATGGTGTTTAGACCGTGGCAAGTTATACGACAAATTGGAACTATGACGGTTTTTTCTAGCGAAGCAGTTTTGACAAACGAGTCAAGTGAATCACGACTATATTCCACCCTGTTTGCACGCGTTTGGTATAGCCAAATTGTGCCCAAGTTGAAATGGCTGCAATCGTTTTTCTCAGGAATTAACAGATATTTTAAGGAAAAAATGCATGGCATTCATATACTTACTAAAGGCTATCTATATGCAAAAGACGAGTGAATTTGAATTTTTTTCAGCTTTGCCAAAGATTTGCGATTTTGTTTGATTCTTGCACGAATCTGCTGTTAAACACACTGGGAACAAAAACCACGACATAGTACCTACACACAGTGGGCTCAAAAAATATAACATAGTGCCCATGCCCACACACAATGGGCACAAAAACCATAACATAATACCTACACACAGTGAGCCCAAAAGCCATAACATGGTGCCTATATACAATGGGTACTAAAACCATAGCATAGTGTACACGCGGTATGCACAAAAACCATAATATAGTGCTTGCACACCTGTTGGCACAAAAGCCATGACATAGTACCTACAAATAGTGGGCAGAAGAAAAATATTACGTAGTGCCCACACACAATGGGCACAAAAACTATAACATACTGCTTACGCACAGTGGGCACAAAAACCATAACCTAGAGCCGACACACGGTGGGCACAAAAACCATATCATAGTGCCTACACACAGTGGGTACTAAAACTCCGATATTGTTCCTATCTTGACTCGCCCAGTAACTCTTTTTAACAAGTAAAACTGGTGTTGACTACAGATTGTCAATTATGCATAACCAACAAGAAATTAAAAGAATAATGAATAATTCAAAACAATGTTTAAAATTTAACCCTTCGACCCTTTAGAGTGACTATCATCTAGTTTCTCCTTACAACATCACCCCTACATCCCATATTAAGGTCAAATGCTGAAATAAAAGGAATGGATTCCAAAAAAGAAGCTCTTTATCGTTAAACAAATTCCCCTTGTCAGCACCTTAAGAAATGAAGGGAGAACAGTAAGGAGACTATGTTAAAGCGAAACTGAATGGTCACAATCTAATTATTTAGTTTCTAGCCATTTTGAAGTTACTTGAAATGTTGCTTAAAATGAGAATTGAGCTCTTTTTTACCACTTGCACTTCTCTTTACAAGAGAAATGGGCTTGGTTCAGCAAAGCTGTCAATTAGGTATAGTTTGAAACTAAACCTAATTGACAGCTTTGCTGAGACAGATACCAAATGATCACAGATGATTTCCACACCTTAACATAAATTTGACTAAGCATTACCACTATTAATTTCATTCAAGTGTCTTGTTACAACACTCCTTGAGCTCAGCCAAGTTCTAGCTTATTACAGGCATCTGTAAAAAACAATTATCGTTTTTAAAACCATATTGATACTCACCATAAACAACCAAGTTTACCGCGTCGCCAATTATAGCCAGAGATAAAAGGCTAGGCATAATGGAACAACCAAACAGTCTGCCGTCGTTTACTTGGACTGAGTTCAGAGTAAATGTCACCTGACCAGGGTTTTTCTGCTTATCCCAAGTTCCTGTAAAACGTCCCCTTTTTGGTGTAACAGTACCATCAGGAAATATCTGTACAAGCCTGTTTTTATCCTCCACTGCTAGGGCATTAAGAGATGTAAAGTAGCCAAAATCGATGGATAAAAAGCTATCAGCTTTAAAGGCCCAGGAAAAGTTGAGGGGAGAGCCAACACTCGCTGTCACATTCCTTCCGGCATAACGGGAGATGAAAGAAAAACCAGCTATGAAAAGGTAAAAGAATCAAATTCAATGATTGACTTTGGAGCAACTTAAAAATATTACTCCTGCCTCATCCCCAAGGGAAAAACTAGTCAGAAGAACCTTTTTGGTTGAAAATAATTATTCTGGTGTCTGCCTGATATGGATCTATCCAGAAGCCTATGACCTAAAAGCGATTAGGTATGTCCGAAAGCTGCTAAAGTAGTGTTCATTCCTGTGAAGATCCATCTCATGCTAATTTAAATTGTGCATTAACATCAATGGAATTGATTACTGAACTAAAACTTTATCATAACATAAATTTCTAATAATTTAACGATAACGTAAGACACACATCGAGTATTAAATAAATCTATATGTGACCTTGTAAACCTCTACTATATCCTTTCAGCTATGCCAAACCCATATTAAGTAATGACACCATTAAGTACGGGGAAATGTTGCTAAACAAGCCGGTCAAGGGATTTTTCGCTTTAAAGTTGTTTATTTTACATGGTTTTTCACCGTTTGCGTCAACATTTTAGACATGTTTTCGTTTCAATTCACATTCATAATGACTTTTTCATCATGTCAGTTCCTCTACAGGACTCTGCCTTCCATATGACCAGTACATTCAAACTCTGAGATAACTGAAAAATTGGATTTGTGTTTGGCAGAATTAATTGTAAGTGATTTGGCACTAGGTGATAAATAGTAATGATTTCCTGTGAGCATAAATGTATGGGAGAAGTTCTAGCGGTAATTGACCCGGATCATGTTTACCAGTACTCTCGACCGATAGATCGGTTGACATATGGTTTGAATGTTGGTCACTCTGTCGACACTGGGTCGACACCGTCTAGACACTGGATCAACACTCGGTCCATAGTCGGTCGACGCCGGGTGGATAGGTTGTCGATAGTTGGCCGATACTCGGTCGAGACTTGGTCGATAGTCTGTCGATAAATCAGTCGAGATATCGACTATCGACCGAGTGTCAACCGACTTTTGCTCGAGTATCGACTGAACCTCGACCGACTTATCCACCGATATATCGGTCGAGAGTACCTACAGTAAACGTGCTCGATTGACCCTATGTTTGGAAGGAAAGATAGGATTTGACTATATTGTAATGAGTATCTTTCTGCTATCAAAATTCCAACTACGTATTAATTGTAACTGTTAATAACCATATTTATTTCTTTGCACCATCAAACTTCAAAAATTGTAAATGTAGCAGGTAGCATGTACATGTTGTTTAGCTGGCCTCCACTAAGGAAACTTTAATACAGAGGAACCTCGATTTAACGAACCTCTATATAACGAAGTCCTCGGTATAACGAACGATATTTCAGTTCCAGTCCGACTAAAGTCACAGTAAAATGTAAGCCACAGAACCTCGATATAACGAACCAATTTCTCCAGTCCCTTAACACTTCGTTAAATCGAGGTTCCACTGTATAAGAAATAATAATCACAAGATATGTGAGTTTTAAAAGGTGGGAATTTGAAAAGCAGGGATCCTCTTCTAGTAATGAATGAAATTGGTCGGTGCTCTCCTCTTTTAAGTTATGCTTTTGATTTACCTGGCTTCTCCTCTTTACTATTTAATAAGAGCACTCTCTAAATGGACAATAGGAACTATTTTTGGATTAGCACGACTGTTTTCATACGTATCTTGACTTTTAGTGATTTCTTTTGCTTCTTTCTCGTTACCACGTGATAAACAAAACAATAGGTCTCTTCGAGTGAAGAGTCAGCTTTCGGCAGCAGCTTTTTTCCAGATGGGTGTGAAGATTTTTCTCTCCTAATTGTTGTTTTAGGGTATCATCAAGCATGAAAAGGCTTTCATTTGCTCAATTCAAGCGTCAACCATGCGTTGTAGGGTAATTTTTTTACATGACTGAATCCGCACTTCGTGCATTGTTGGGTGAAATTTTCGAATAATGTGCATATTAAGTTGACCAGGTGTACTAGAAGTTCGCCGAAAATTGCCACAGATTTTATATTTCCATACTCCTCTACCCTATTTTAGTTGGTCTAAATAAAAGTATCATGGGAAAGAAGTTGGAATTTTGTGCTGAGCCAATATAAAAAGTTGCACAATTGCGGCCATGGTGGCAAAGGCAAAGTAGGTGTCAAATGAAAAATAGTTTTCAGTGTAAAAAATCGTCAAAAGATAAAAAATTGTGTGATTTGTTCTCAGAAAGGATCGATCTAAATATGGAAACATTTAGTGATAAAAACGAGCGCTAAAAAAATATGAACGACGTTTCGACCGCTCCATGGAACTATTAACCAATAACAAAGCGCAAAAATGAAGTGTAAATAAGCGGTGAACAGGATGAAAATTGTGTTGATGTGTTAAGCAAACAGCTTCACTCGAATAGAATCGCTCTGTTTGTTAAATTTTGGCTTAAAGTCCCGAATAGAAAACATTTCGAGAATCAAACAATCGAACCCGTTTGAGCATTTCCTTAGGACCTTGAAGTTCTTTGCGATTTCACATGGTTCGATTCCCATGGTTGTCGATTACCGATTGTTTATGTTCCTCCACACGTTGATGTAGTTTCGGCTTGTAAAGCCGACATAATCTGTATCGCAAGTCAGATCACACTTAAAGAGATATCATCGTTTTGCTGGTCGACAATTAGAGGTTTAGGTTCCTTAACTTTGAGCTCATGTAAATAGAATAGAATATTAAATATATTCTGAATTTCTATTCCTCTTAAACATATTCTTTGTTTTGGATCACCTACTCGGTTAGTTCCTTGAACTATTTAGGTGTCCTAAACTCTACATAATGTACCTACAATTGAAAATTTTATTTTTCCTTCACAATCTCTTGATTTCTTTTATTTGAAACACCAATTTGCATTAATTATTATTCTGTATGAGTTTAAATAAAAACTTGACTTGACTTGACTAATCTTTGATCTAGCGGCTTGTAAAGACAGGATGTAGTTCGTGATTTATTTAGCTAAGATCACTAAGTTGTTCGCGTAGTTTGTTTGCTGATCTCTGATCCTTGAAGGGCAGGTGTACCCTAACGGGAATTTCACCTGCTTGTTGCGGTGGACGTACGTGTGTGCTCTCGATCACATTCATTTCAACAAAAGACCTGATGGTGTTTTGTATGAGGGGCACTGGGTAATGCAAACGTGTGAAGATCTCCTTTAGGTGTCCGCATTCTTGATGAAAAAATTGCTGGTTTGAAGAAAGTTTAAAAGCGCCGTTCAGCGTTGCTTTTAACAGAGAATGTTTGTACTTCATATCAACGTGGCTATTGTAATGCAGAAGCAGCCCAGTATCTATTGGTTTTCTGTAAACCTTTCTGTCCAGCCGAATGCTATTTCTGAAGTTTCCCGTTTTTCTCGAGTTCCATTGTAAAACTAGTGGAGGGTGGATTTCATTCAATGTTGAAAAAAAAGTGGATGTCCAAGCTGCTTCCAAGGACTGTCTATTTAAGGAGCCATATATGGATTTGTCCCGCGCTCAACGTTGGACGTCTGCCCGTGAGTTATCGAAGTAAGTATCATTGAAGTAACCGAGAGTGACTTTCACCAAAATTTGTTAGTTTGCAGACCACTGGCTCAACACGAAACAGATCTTCAAATTGATCTTTGCCGACTTCCGGTCGCGCGTAATGCTCGTTACTGACCAAGTCTCCCTCGTCAAAAATTATTCCTTTGTTGGAAACGCGGATATCAACACTAGTCACTTTCAATCTCGTTGAATAATTTTAAATACTCACAGCTAAAATCACTCCCTATGACCGAAATCTCTTCTTAGTAAGGAAATACAATCTACGTCATCGCTAACATCATCCGCTGATATAAAACGTAACGCTAATCAATTGTCACGCGCTTATGACTGTCACGTTCTTATATATTTCTAACACCTTCACAACCACGGCTCTCTTCAAAATGTCCAAAAGAGATTCTCCGAGGTCTGTGGTTTCGAGGTCTGCGGTCTGCGTTCTCGAGACACCAGTGTTCCACCAATAACTGTTTACCATGGTACTTTCCCTCGCATGTCAACAAATGCATCAGACTTACAAGACATTAAATATCAAAATATTACTATTACTATTATCCAACCGTTGCAAGGCAGTTCTTTAAGTTTGTACAAGGGTTGCGCCACTTTCCCATGTATTACCTAATGGTCTTCATGTAGTGAATTTACTATGCATACGTAGGTGTAACCAACTCTCTACAAGATTCTACGAAGGTGGACGCGATAGGAGTGTTATCACGTCAAGAAACGCATAGAGATAAGGTCACATAAAGCAATCACTCCTCGTGGCAGGTTTCACACTGCTGTAAACAATTTCGCAGAACATCCAAAAAGAAACAAATAGCGCTTTAGCGAGACGAAATACCAAAGCGATGCTCTCGAGGGGCTGAATGGACATTCAATAGTAGAGAGTAATCGAACAAGTCTAACAACTTCCTAACCTAGTAGACAAAAATTCTATGAAGCAGTCGCCAAACGTAAGGGAGAGTGTCAATCAAGATGTGATCTAAATTTGAGCTTCCCTGTATTCAGATAAGGAAAAGAGCACACTGAGCTCAACAAAGAGCGATTGTAACCAACCCAAAACGATCAAAGACTTCTACTAAAGAGTAAGCGAGTCAGAGGAAACCATAAAATGACAAGTACGCCGGGCGAACCTTTCTATGAGCTGAATTAGCTTCTCACATCGTTATGAAACATTATAACTGTATGTGTAGACTAGATTGCATCGGAATTGACCTTCAGTCTGATGTCTGTAGGCGGAAATGAAACGGCGAGGGCGATCATGTTTTACAATTCCGGCACTTTCACAATATCTCCTTCATGGTCACGAAAGAAATGACGGCAAAGTTGACGCCAACGCTGCATGCATCAGTACTCTTACCATTGCCTATTGTGATGATCAAACATGCTTAAGCGGAATTTGGGAAATAAGGTCGACCCAGAATGCACGATGAACGACATTCGTCTGTTTACTAAATCATTTTCGGTATGGCTATTCATATTGTGTGAGCTTATCCCACAGCACACCGTAACTTACCTGCAAAGGAATGCAGAGCAACAAAAAGCACACAGCAACCAAAGATAACTCGGTTCTCAAACATGATGGAGAGTTTCGTCTCTGGCTTAAGCATGAGTGTCAGCACATATCTTTCAGTTCTTAAAACCGACTCGATAACGAATCATAACTATGATGTAGCGTGACGACTTTGGGTCAGTCACACACTGAGGTCTCTGTGTCTGCCCCAATCTTCAGACGTCCTAGAGTCTTCCTTGTTTCTCTCGAAAAATTTTTCAACTACTTAACTATCGTCACCTACACTGTTGTGTGATTTACAATTTTAAGAAAACGTTTGTTTGTACGTTCATGCTGTAGGGCGGATTAAACCAAATCATGTTTCTTTGTCTGTTCTTGCGGCAGTTCTGTACGGTGTGAGATACAGGTTTCTTGCGTTCAGCGTAGATTGATTTTTCGTCGAGTCCACTTGGTTTAAGTACGCTTTCGTAGTGGGGTTTAGCTTTGTCAAAGAGTCTTTGCTTGAGGAAATGTCAGAGATCCGTCGGCCGATGGCTGCTGGTAGGTGTTGTATTATTGTAGGCCGCGAATGGTTGGAATTGGTGTCGATGTAGAGAGTTTCGTTGTTGGGATTTCTGTATGGATAGTGAGTTCCGTCCTTGAGGTTTAGGGTGACGTCGAGGAAGTTGCAGATTTTTAGGTTTGTCAGTGCTTATAGAAGTGTTCAGTCCTTGTTTCTTAAATTCTCGTATGATGTCCTTTCTCAGTAGTCCGTTCTGGAGTACCAGCCTATTGTCTCTGCAGCCTAAGTACTACGTTGTTTTTGCCCTATTTCATCCTCGCTGAGGTTGTTCAGGAGGAAAAGTCCCCTAAGCTCGCAAACTTCCGCTCCGTCGAAGCTGCCCATAGCTACGTAATTGGTTTTTCTTGTTCAAGGCGGTCTCGTCGTCACATAAAAGTGATTTCCGGCAGTGCATGATTATTTGGATGTCTTAGGCCTACTCTGGGACCTTAAGTCGCTTTAAGTCGCCTTAAGACGCCTAAAGTCGCCTTGAGTCACCTTAAGAGCAAATCCGTGCAAAAATCAAACATTGTATGGCAAAGTTAAAAAACTAAAACTCGCTGTTCTTTTTCATACAAGTAGCCTTTAGAAAGTACACAATTTCCGGCAGTGCATGATTATTTGGATGTCTTAGGCCTACTCTGGGACCTTAAGTCGCTTTAAGTCGCCTTAGGACGCCTAAAGTCGCCTTGAGTCACCTTAAGAGCAAATCCGTGCAAAAATCAAACATTGCATGGCAATGTTTGAGTTTTGCTTAGAACTAAAACTCGCTGTTCTTTTTCATACAAGTAGCCTTTAGAAAGTACACAATTAGTATGCAGATTTTTCCTTAGAATATTATTTGCTTCTAAAAAAACGAAAACGTTTCGTTTTCAGTCCCAGGATCGATTTGGCGACAGCGAACAGGTTTGAAATAGGTCATGATTCAAGTGACTCGCGTATAAAAAAACTGAGCAAGAAAAAGTTATCACAATTCCAAGTTGTTGTACAACTTGTTATAGTCTTAACACCATGATTTCATAAAGATTGGATTAATTCCAGTATTCAAGAGAAGTCAAAAGCTTAAGATTACGATTGATAATACCAGAGTTGATGATCTTTCAAAATATATAAAGTTTAGTTTGGGAAAATGAATTTGGAATTTTTTACCATTTTTTGGAAATCGTGAAGAAAGCCCAAAAAATCCCGCCATCCTGCTGTCTAGGCATAGTTGCTTGCAGTTCTTCAGGCTCTGGCCAATCTATAAGAAACTTCAGTCTAATACTTAGTGCATGGATCCATCGATCAAATATTCTTGATGCGGTTGCTACTGAAATATCAAATCTGTAAGCCAAGTCTTGAAGTGTGAGATTAAGTTTCAACCTTAAGAGAACTAGAATAAACTCACTAAATGATTCAAGACCATTCTGAAAGTTTCTCTTGATACAATGAGAGGTAAGATTAAATACACTCATCAGGGTTTTGTAGTTTGGCAGGCCAGTGTAGAATTTAGTTTTTTCATCATTGTTCTTAAATGTTTGTTCTGAAAATCGAGCAGATAGGAGTTGACTCTTTAAATTGGATAGTTCTTCTATCAAGTGTTGTAGGTAGTTTTTTTCATTTTCCATTTGGGTAAGGTCTATGTCTGTTTGGCATTCCTGGTCTCTAGTAGTAGCTTGTTCTGCCTGGGTTNGCAATGGACTATTAGTTTGATAATTCTTATTGTGAGGTGGGCAGTGGCTTCCATATACATAGAAACCTCATGTGAAAATAGTCAGAGGAATGTGTGTCTTTGTGTATATATTTGATAGGTTTGTTTGATTTTGGGCATATAACATATGATGTTTTCCTGGCTATTTATTCACTAGCTTTGACTGTGTAATTTATCAATACTGTCTGATTTCTTTTAGCTAAATTGGTTTTAAATCTGGATATTTTAGACTATGGTGACTTATGAGCATACACAAGTAACCAAAATGACAATTGTGTTTACTGCAAGATTCTGTAAATGTTTTTAAGGATATGGAGAGATTGTTGCTAACTTTGATTTTATCACTTCACTCGCCAAGCTGGCAGTAAAGCATCGTTGGCGGTCCAGTCTACATGAAACCATCTCTCACCTCTATTTTCCTTCAGAGGTTTGCCTCTACCCACATTCCAGCTTAATGATGCCGTCGTCAGGGCTTCTGTAGAGGGAAAATGGCTCGAAAAACACTTATTAACGGCCAGAAAAGCGAGAAACTGAATCGATTTGAACGCATCCAAACACGAACTGTTGATCTAGGTCATGTGACCCCAAGGTCTGAGCCCATGGTGTCTCAAAACCGCAAATATTGTAGCGAATGCTCCATGTAAGGACCAACAAAGTGAGGTTAAGTTTGTATCGCCAAATTATAACTGAAAAAATATGGTCTTTTTCGTATCCAAAGGGTTAAAAATGGCCGTCCATGACCCAGTGTTTCAATGACGTTCCTCCCTCTCCTGGTTTTGGCTCACCTCCTTTTCGAGACTTGCCTTACCCGAGGTGTTATCCCCCTTTTATGACATTACTTAGACACGACGCGCGCTTGGATTCGTAAAAAATATATTGTATATTCGCCTGTATACCCATACGAAAATTAAAAATCTTCCCGTTCCGCGAAATGGCTGCACACGGGGCGAGTTCCCAGATTTTGATATGTTAAAAGCCCTTGGTGTGGAGGACAAGACGAGGACTTGCGTGATTCATCAGCTGGTAAACCGATAGAAAGTGTGGTTTATTGCTTAATTTTATGCGGGGAAGGCGCTTTTGTACTACAATACGCCGTTAGTAATTATTCCCGCGTGACATATGAGCCACATTTAAAATCTTCAATTTGGTTGCCACCGTAAAATATTATTGAGTTCTGTTCACCAGTTATTATCAGAACATAGGAAAACCCATAACGAAACAATGAAGCTGATCAATGAACACACACATCATTATAAACTGGCTTTTACTGCAAGAAAATGTTAGTCACCAAGGTGCCCTTTTTTATATTTAGCATCGGATTGGTTGTGAATGTGGTGCAACGATTTAGACCAATCGCAGTACAAGGTAAAGGAATGCGATCCAGTGGTACTTTTCACGTTAAGTAGCTGAAAGTTGTTGTACAAAGTCTGATTCACTGGTTAAAACCTCTTACTCCTAAAATTTTCATATTGCTTCTCTTCACTCCCCAACAAACATTTCCTATAACTACAGCAGTGAGATTTATATTCTTTTTTTCAATGTTTTTGTAGACTCCATTTTGATATCGAATATAGTCATGACGCTATTATACGTCAACTGAAAAAATCTTCACAGTTATAAATCTTTTTTTTCAGAAATCCAACCTTAAAGGATAAAATAGCCATCTGTGGCTTGGCGAGAAAAGTAAAAAAATTAAAAAGAATAAATGTGTTTCATTGCTTAAGTAGGATCACATCATATGAAACAACAAATCCAACCTCAGACGACAAAATGGCTACCGTGGCCTAGGATAAAATTGAGCTTCATTGTGGACTTGAAAGAAAACAATTTAATCATTCCTACTGGTAGGTGAAAGGCACGTATAGAGTGAACTCGAAAATAAAGTAAAAAATTGATACAATGTCAATGAGAACCCCTTTTTATCAATTCTGGAATGAAATAATTTCAAGATCTTCCAAGTGACCTTCAGCCTTTGTTTGAAAGGTGTTTTAGTAAGTTACAATTCCTCTGCATCCAAACATTCCATTTCAACCACTTAACTGGTCAAAATTTTGGAAAGAAGAACGTCAGAAAAAAAACAAACTTGTGAAGAGTCCTTTAGCACAATATATTGGTTATATTTTTTGTTTCATCGATTGCGATGGACTGACGAAATGATAAAAAAAGAATGTTTTTTTGTCCTCTTTACAATTAGGTTCTCAGAGATAACTACAGTAAGCCGACCTTAGAAATCTAAGCGAAGATGTATACGAACTAGCTGCTCGGATCTAGAGATCCTAGATACCGTAATTGAGGTAATATCTTCATCCTATCGTTCAGAAAAGTCGTTTTCTGAGTCCGCTTCATATTTTTCTGCATATGTTCGCACCTGTCACTTCAACGTATCTGTCACTTCAACGAGACAGTCGTCACATCGCGCAAAATGCAATTGCCCTTATCACATTTACGCCCACTTTACGAGAGCTCAGCGGACTTTGAAGTTTAGAGACGAGGCTATCAGGTGACACATGAAAAACTTTCAACATGTACTTACAGTGCCCAGTTTATCAAAGAGCGGAATATCAATTTGCATGTCTAGAACTTATCAGCTGTGATTGGTCAACGAATTTAGCTTTGGGAATACTTGAGTAGCACTGCAGATTTTAGCTGCTGTCAATCAAACGGTTTGGTGTGTGATGTCAGTCCCAAGGTGCGATAGAGTTAACAACAGCACACTAATTAAAGGCCGGCCGCACTGTTCACAAAGCGTTTGCAAATTCGTGTGAGACAATATATTTTTTTTTGACCTAATAGACGACTAACAAGCTCCTGTTGTTCAAAACTTTACCTGAATTGTCAATATTGTTTCATGTCGACCAGTCGGTTTAGAACCTGCCATTTGACGGCCCCTTTTTCTTTTTGAGTTTGAAAGGCTGCGGCAGG